CCATACAAATGATGGAAATCTATTGAAGCCGGAGCAGCACAAGATACCCCTTACATCTCCCTTTGAGAAGCAGACAGAAGAGTGTCAGGTGTTTTCTAGCAGGGAAGGGATCAGATTCTTCTTTCAGTGACCTGAGCTCTGTGGGATGCTCCAGCAGGGCAGGACCTGCTGCTTGCAGTTACTCAGACAGGAGGTGCACAATGTCCACCTGGCAGGCAGTGACCCCAGACCTGCAGCCGTGCCGGTAGGATTGGGTTTTGAGGGAGAAGGGATCCATATTACGTTATCCACTGCTGCTGACAGCAAGGTTTTGGAGTAAGGAATGGGGTATTGAAAGAGATTGTCTGTCTTTGGCACAGGGATAAGAACTATGTTTTATTAAGGAATGGTAGTACAGTACAAAAATATGATTGTATAAAATCTGTGAAAACTATGGTACCATTTAAAATAGCCTTTTCTCCTTTCATATGTTCCTTTCTTTTTAAAAAATATATATTGTAAATACTTCTAACATTTTTTTTCCCACCAGCATTAGGAAACCAAGCAACATCTTCAAACTGCAGTCAAGATAAAAGACAACCAATAGTGTAATTTGAATTGTCTTGGATTTGCCTTAAAGATCTTCAGAAGAGGCAGAAGAAAAAAAAACCTTCCAGAAAAGTCTGGGGAAAACAAACAAACAAAAATGTTTCTGTTCACAGGACGTGATAATATTCAGCATTTGAAATTGTTTGATGCTTTCAGGAACAAAGTCCCCCAGCCCTGACCAGCAAAGGCTTCTAGGACAGGAGGAATGAGGGCACTACCAGACCCATGAAGCGAATGACCCTGCCCATGTGTTTAAAGGCAAGCTGGTGCTTTGCCAGGGTCAAGGCTAAGCCTTGCAGTCTGTAGCAGACCATGTGCTTGCTGGTCTGTCCTGGACCCTCTTCAACACCTCTCTCAGATTTCCATGGTACTGGGATCCCAGATAGAAAGCCGCTTTAATCGGGAATTAAAGTGGGAAAAACTCATTTACCTGACCAAAAAATAGTAAGTTTATCCTACTATTTTTTTTTCCTTTTCCGCAGTTATATTTATATATAAGGAAAAATAATTCCTGCTCATGAAGTGATACATTTCCAGCAACATCTGGAAATAATATTGTTTGGGATAAAGCTCTGTTTTTCCAAAGAGTCCAAGTGAATTAGGACCCTATTTTCTCTCTTTACTGCCAGACTGACTGCTGTCTATTTTATTCAGTATTCAGAGGTTTTGCTTCCGAGCCTCATTCTTAACAAGAGCTAACAATTACCGAGTTAAATTCCATCGATATGCCTGGCAGCTACCCTGCAATATCAAATCCTGTACATTCTTGCTAATAAATATAATTGCTGGCACTATTAAAGCAGCTTACTTTGAAGATGAGATAGGTTACCAAAGCAAGTTCTGTTGCAATACAGAGACTAAACGCAGCCTAGTACAGATGGAGAAAAATGTTTGATTTTGAAAACTGCACAGACCGGCCAGGGGCTCCTAGGACAGTCTAAGGTCTTGTCTACGTGGTGGAACTGACTGGCAGGACATCTGTGGGACAGCTATCTCAGCACTGTCAGACCTTTGCCGAGACCCCAGCGTGTTTCATGTTGGGATGTGAGTGCTGCTCGCTGTCGCTGTGCAGGCAGCCCTGGGGCTGGAAAATGGCCCGAATGGAAACTGGCTGCTTAATGAAGAGAAAATAACGCTGCTTATGGTGAGCACCAGACGTGCCTAGTGGTTGTCAGAGTCGAACTGGATGCAAAGGCAGGCTGCTAAGTGTGTGATTCTTATTTCAGTCCCTAAGCTCCCATGAGCTCCACTAGCAACTGAAGTGCTTCTGTATGAGCAGGAAACGCAAGCATCTTTCTGATGATTTCTATTCCCTAATTTGCCTTCCTCTGGCCTTACTCAGTGCCAAGATGTGACACTGGAGCTCTAGTGAAGCAGTAACTGCGAGCTTATCTGCAGCTCCAAACAGTAGGTCTAGGATGAACATGGGATTCCTCTTCAGTCTCGAGGCCCTTCTCTAAGCTGGAACAGAATGAAGTGAGGTGGGAATATATTCCTTCTCCTTGCTCTGGTCTTGCCCTGGGGCTGTAGGATCAAAATTCACTTGGGTGGGAGGATGGTGCATGGGATTTTTTAACAACCTACAGGCAACTCCTTAGAGCAGCTCCAGTTAGGAAGGAAACCCACAGCCCTGCAGCTGGCTGTGCCCTGGTGAGCCATCCCAGGTAGTCTGGGGAGACTGAGAAGTTGTGTGAACCACGACCAAATTGCCCGACTCCTAAGTGCAAGGTCTGGGCATGGAGGCAGGACCTTTTTTGCCTAAATGACAGCGATTTGCGGTTGCTCCCCTGCTTGAGCAAGGAGCCGCGGTGTGTGGGCTGCCAAGCCTCTGCCCTGCTGCCGGGCAGGGAGGGGAATTCCCTGGATTTGCTCTTTCATCTCAGACAAGGACACGCCGTTTAAAGCAATGGTACAACCCACAGTTGGCACGACCAGCTGTCGGGCGTGCAGGGGGAGTTCAATAATTCAGCAAGCAAAACCAGAGCCAGCAGCAGATTTGGGCTCCAGCCAAGGCTCGGAAAGTTGTCCCAGCATCAACTAACGGTTCTGCTTGACAGCTTGAGATCTCCCTCCTTGGGAAAGCACTGTCTGCCCGGGGAAGGAGAAACCCTCAGCCCACAGGTTTTCTGCTGCTCCAATAGAGGGAAGGGGGGAAGGGGCTGATGTACTGGTTCACGCTGGTATAGCATGACCTTTCCCTATCTTAGCAGTGCAAAGGGAGTCAGAAAACTAGCTGGCCTTTGCCAAAACATTAGGAAATATTGCCATTTGCCCTAGTCCACACAGTGACCATCATGGTTTTTTTTCTTTTTTCTCCCTTTTTTTTCCTTGTTGTTCTTATCCTTTGTTTCTTTCTTTCTTTTTTTTTTCTTTTTTTTTTTTCTTTTTTTTTTTTAAAATAAAGTGTATTTAGTGCTGGTGAAAGGTGCTGAATTGGCAACCTCGGTTATAGGTGTCCCTCTGCCCAGCCCAGGAGAGCCCTGGTGCTTTCTCTGGGCTTCCTCCTCTTGGCACCGACCCTGTGCTAGGACAGCTTGCAGGTCCCTGTGCTCCACTGCCCTCTCCCATAGCTGCTTCTTCCTGCACTGGCTGCGACACCCGTGGCCGAGCGTAGGCTCCTACCTCCCATCCCAGGCTTGGATGCTGCTGACCTGGGCCAGACTGGACCTGACAGTGCCGGGGGGCACTTTGCTGTGAGCTGTTCCAGCTGCTCTGAGGGATACAGTTTCTGCAAGCGGGAACCTGTCTGTTCCCGGAGCAAGCATCATATCTGTGGCCCAGGTCAGCTGTGGTCCAGTCCCGAGCAGGAGACGGGGGTGAGGGAGGGAGAGTGGAAGCACCCCTTGGGTACCACTTGTCTCCCTGCCTTCATTTAGTGCCTGATCCAGACCTGACCCCAAGTGCTTCAGTGCAGACTGATTGTCTCTTCCTTCATGCTCTCTTTTACCCGCCCCGCTAAAGTGCAAATGAACACGACTGAATCACCCTGGGTGCTGCAGCCCGGCTCAGGCAGAGGGTCCCAGAGAGGCAAGTGGGACATCAAGCCCTTGACTTGCCTATACCAGCCCCAAGCCAGGCTTTCAAGTAACGCCCTGGAGGCATTTGGTGTGTGTCCCCCCACCCCAGCCGCCAACGCCAACCTGTGCTATACTTGGCCAAAGGGAAACCCCTTTGCTCACTCATTCCCACCTCCCTCCCCCCCTTCCCTATCCCCACCAAACTGTGCCAGCCTCCCCTGGGACTCTGCTGGGCAGCAGAGAGGGGCAAAGCAGCCTGCTCCATCTTCCCATCCGCGTTAAAGCTAAATGCAGCACCAAAATAGATACAAAAATAGAGTTTTGGGTCCATTGGCCCAGCTTCGCTATTAATATTACTGCTATGAAATGTCTGAAAATAAAAGCCGCTCTCTCTGTACACACCTTCCCCCCCCCCCCCCTTACTGACAATATTGCCGTTCGCCCGGTCCTGTCGCGAAAAGGCATGGATATGCCTGTTTTCTCTATATTTTAAATATAATTTCTACTTTAACTCATCCAAAGCTTCCATCCCCCCCATTGTAAAGAAACATGGCAGAAAGTGGTTTGGAAAAGAAAAAAATCCTTCATCATTTCTAGTGTTCTGAATAGTATTTCTGACTCTTGGGACTTGAATCCTGCCAGGTCATTTAAAAGGACAGAAGGTACCTGCAATTTCTGATGAAGGCCCTGATGTCCTTCTCGGGTTTCCCATTGGATGCTCTCTGATGGGGATGAGAGAGATAATGTGTTTGCTTTCCTCTATCCAAAAGTCACAAAATGTTTGATCGGCAAACCCATGACTAAAAAAAGTAAATATATAAAATAAACAACAACCCGCAGCCTCTTTCTTAAGTTTCCCTGTCTATCCAGTTTTCAAAGTGCAAAATCTAGAGAAGCATAGAATGATTTTCTTGTTTTTTTTTTTTCTTTTGTTAGGGCTTTTTTTCCCCACGTGCTTGACTGGTATGGCCTTTCTATAGCAAAAGTCAGATAAAGCATAATTGCGGTCATTTCTGCACATGGAATTATGAATCATTCCAGTGACTTGAGAATCTAAGCTGTTAATAGGCTAAAAAAAGGATTTTTTTTGTTTAACTTTTTTTGATTGTTTTCTTTTTGCATTATAATTAAGCATGAATATATATTAATATATTACACTGCTTGGATTGCAACTGGAGCAATCCAAACCTTCCTATGCTGTAAAACTAACCCCCACCCTGCACTCCCCAGATGAAGAGCTTTTTTCTCCTCCCTGTGCCGGTTATCCTCAGTTCACATGATTAAAAGTCCCTCCCAGCCCCCCTCCCCTTTTTTTTTTAGTAGATATTGCCACATTCTTAAATTCATGCATTGCTGCATTGCTATTGCACATATATAAAGGATTGCTCGCTCCCTCCCAGCTGCTCCCCTTCCCTCACTGGTTGTGCACATCCTCTCTGCGGACGATCTTGTAGATGATCCAGTAGAAAATGTTGAAGATGAGGAACGCCATGGGGAAGCCGATGCGTGAGATCTTGTCGATCTTCTTGGCTCGCTGAATGAAGAGCTTTCGCATCTCCTCGGGGGAGCGGGACGGTTGGGGGACCGGGTTGGCTGTGTTGTTGTTGTTGGCGCCCTTGACGGAGATGCCATCCTTGGCTTGTAGGCAAGCTGGTCCCATCCCGTAGGCAGTGAAGTTGAACCTGCCTTCGCCAGCTTCATCCTCCTGAAACAGATTCAGCATGGGACTCTACTTAAAATGAGATATAGACAGTGCACCCTCGCTATAAGGCTCTCCACTGACAGCTTCCTGCTCTGCAAGGGAAAGACACCTCCGTCATGCCCCAACCTCAGCGCCCTTGGACAAACCCTCTGCTCTTGGGAGATCAGCCTTATAGAGGGGTGCCAGCTGTGTGATGCACAGATGCAAATCAGGGGATCCAGGCACCCCATGGAGAACAGGACTGACTTCCACCCCACTGGTGTCTTTGACATACTTGAACGGTTTGTGGTACTGTGTTCATTTTTCCAATTGCATCCCCTGTTTTGCTTCTGCCTCTCCCTCCCCCCTGCTCCTATCAGCACCTTCTTTGCTTTGCCTGTGCTGTATCAGCTCGCCCAGAAGGAGTGGGCTCCATGTAACTCAGGTAGTTGAAGCCACAGCGCGAGACTTCCTACAGAGTTACATGGATGCGCAGGCGCCGAGACCTGTCCAGGAAAAGACCTCTGCAGGCAGCGTGCAACCAGCCCTCAGCTCGCCTGCCCACGGAACCCCCCGAGCCCCACAGCCCCTCCCCACAAGCCATCTTTTAGGTGAGGAACAGAAGTGCTCTTCTGCGGGTCAACGGTAAGACATGGCTGCTAGTACGAATTCCAATTATTGGGAAAGAAAAATAATTTATTTTCCAGTCTAAAGGCAAATACTATTGCTGTTTTTTTGGTGGAGGCCTCGCAGGCTTCTCAGAACAATTTAGCCCTGTTTTATTGAACACGGGGATGTAATCACAGGAAAAAACAAGTTTGGCCAAAGTAATATAACCAGTGAGTTGCAGAGGCAGGGTCAGAAACCCGTCTCTTGACTACAGGTCACCGAGGCTAATTGTTAGACCAATGGCACTAATTATCTGTCATGGAGGCTGATTCACGCTGTGTCCCCCAACACTGACCTACCGGCCCCCTCCCTCGTAGCCCACCTGCCTGATGTGCCCTGCTGCCCCTTCCTCTCTTCTTTGCAGAATGCCTTTTCTGGATGGCCCCTGTATCGAGCAGGTAGCTGCGTGGGATGGAGGCACTGTGCCGGGGGTCTGGGGTGGAGGAGCGGAAGGAAGAGCACGCTGGCATATCTGAGCAAAGCGAAACAACCCAAATAAAATCAAGCCTTCTTTGTTTTGGTTTTTTTTTTTTTGGGGAGAGGGTGGCAAGCTGGTGAGTTGTGTGACCTAACAGCAGGCTTATTTGTTTCAGAGTCCTGGCTGAGACAAATTTGCCGTCCTTTGGATAGTTCTTCCCTGCTCTGGTTGTGTCCCCTTGGTACATCGCTGGTCCCTGGCATCTGATGCTTGACAATCCTTAAATGTCTTTGCCGCCTAACACTGCCTCTGTGAGGAGGCCGTGCTCTGGTCGGGGAAACTGAGGCACCAAAAATTAGGACCCAGCTGCTCTCAGGGCTGGGTGAGTCCAGGTGCTGAACATCTAGTAAGAGACACTTTGTGAGCACTATGAGTCAAGGTTCACAGAAACTCTTCTCTCGGCTCTCTTGGAGAGAGTACTTCAGTTAAAAGGTTGATTTTCTGATGATAGGTGATGCAGGAGTTCTACTTTTTTGGCAGCCAGAACCTGCAATGCAGATGAGGCACTGCCAATGAAGGTGGATGGGGACCTGGAGGGGTATGGGCAGCAGGGGCCAATTCCAACCCTCCTGCGGCACTGCCGGCTCCTGCCAGCGCCTGCCAGGCTGTGCCGGGGGCTGCGCCTGGGGTGGCAGTGGGCACCAGCATCCCTTGGCTCTGGCACATCGGGGAGAGTTTTGCAAAGGTTCACTCTCACCCCTAACTTGACCCCTTTCCTTAACCGGGCTCCTTCGTGCAGCTAATAACGTGTGCATGGGCTGCAAAGGCCTGGCTTTCTGAGATGCTCAGAGCTTATAGACCTTTTCATCACGTCTGTACTATGGGGGTTGAGGTAAAACTGCCTCTGCTCTTCTCTGGTTGTACAAACACATATGCACTGACACATCTCTGGTTTAGCCTAAATCACTCAATTCCCTAATTTACTGGATTTCTTTTCTCTCCTCATTACCGAGGGGCCACTGGCTGTTTTCTGTGGCTGATTTGTTTTGTGTGAGTGCCGTACCCAGGATAGAGAAGCTAATGGTGCCTTTTTCAAGGTGCCATGTCAAAGGAGAAGGGCAAAGGCATCACCAGCCACGCTGGGCTGGCCTCCCTGGCTGGGTCTCCAAATACACTCCAAGTGGGTCTGATGATGGTGTCATATTAACCAGACTGGTCCATACCTCGAAGGGATAGTAACTCTCCCTAGTCATCATGGTCCCTACATCTCCCCATGCCAGGACCTGTCTGCCTCAGTAAATACAGACAGAGTAACGGGTTCGGAGAGAGTTGTCTAGCTAATCTTTCTAGACTAGTCCTCCCGCTTCTTCCAGAGGGAAGGATGTAAGAGGTGGCCCAGAAATGGAAAGGGCCAATTGAAACCTGGCAACAAATATTTATTGATTTGATTTTTATTTTTTAGAGAGGAAGAAAGACTCTTAATGATGAGAATAAGCTAGTACTTTGCATCTAACTCTGAGGAAAGTAAGAAACAGATTTGTCTGAATTCACTTGTATTAATACCAGACCATGGCATGTTGTCCGGTGCGTTGAGCTGTGAAGAATGGCTAGTAGGTTTTGATTTGGGCAGACCTAATAAATGTGGGCATGTGCTAGTCCTCTCCCCAGCTGCCTCCACCAGCATGGACCACTGCAACATCTCACTTGTTTTTAGCCTGGCATGTCATACCTAAACCAGGCAGAGCTACCCAGACAAGTCAGGAGATCAGGACAGACCAATTAGGTTCTCTGGCAGCTGCACTAACCCATTTGCATATTTGCAGTCAGCTCCTAGTTTTCTGATGAGCCTGCAAACCTTGTTCATTTTGCTTTTGCAAGTGTTTTTGTTTATGCTCTGTTCCAATTAAATTGCTGTGAGATTGGGCAGGGATTGTAATAGCAGCCTTGTGTTCAATGGAACATCTCTGGCAAATATCTTTTAAACTCATCTGTATATTAGTGGCTTTTTTCTCCTTATTGTTTTATCAACAGAGCGATCTGCATACAACAGCACGGATCCAGAGACAGGATGTCTGAATCTTAGATGAAGAGATAAAGGCAATATGAGGCACCCATGTTGGGTGGCTTTAGCCATGGCTTTATTAAGCAGGCTGCATCTTCTGAACCAAAACTGCCTCCATTGATTATGAGATGGCAGGGTCTTGCTCTGGCCAGACAAAATCAATGGGTGCTGATGGTCTCATCTGTTACTTCTTTTCCCTTGCATTTGTCCAACACTTTTCATCCCTGGTCCTGACTGCGCTGGGGACAAGTGAACAATTATCTCCTGTTTTGCAGATAGGACAACTGAAGGAGAGAGAGGCAAATCTACAAAGAGACAGGGCTTCCTGCTCCTTAGCCCCCACTGCTTCCTGGAATGGTGGCAGTTCTCCAAGTGCACACTGTGAACTGCTGGAGGACAGGTTAGACCCTGGGAAAGACTTTTAATGGCTGAGTGAAGCAATGGAATGGGGGGGTCTGGATGGGAGGGGTCACGGAAGGCTCTTTAAAATAGAGGGTAGACAAATACCTATGAGGAATATTTTAGGCAGACCTTGGTGGTCTCCTAGGGGCTCTCTTGAGATTCCCATCAGCAAAATTTTCTGTTTTTTTTTCTTAGCAAATTTACTGTTTTTTTAATGTTAGCCTGAGGGCAGCCTCTCAGGTTTGGTGCTGAAAATTTGATACCACCTACCTGATTCTACTAGTTAACTGAGGAAAATTTTTAAGTGCCTTTGGTCTTGTGATCACAGTCACCTTTACGTTTCTTTCTAGTGCATCCTGTGAGGTGAAATCTTTGCTGTGGTACCTCACTCTAAAAGCTAGCAGAGTCCAGGCTGCAGGAGATGCATGTCTGTGACACATGCATGCTTGTGTTGGCATCAGTCATGGCGAGTAAGCATGGAGCAAGGCTAAGGCTGAGAATAATGCTCTTTCCTTCAGAGAGGAATTTGCAGTCAGTCTGAGAAGCAGATGCTTTTGAACACGGAGATGACAGAGACAAAAGAGGTGTCACTTACCTCCAGGCTAACGTAGGCTGTCTTGTTGGGGGATGCTGTTCTCTAATTGACATCCCTCACACTTTCCTGCCTGCTTCCCCCCAGCCCTCGCTGTGTCTTCTGAAGAGAACTCAGACCAGAACATAGCTGTGTGGAAACTGTTCTGTTGAGAACAACTCTTTTGGCTTAGACCACTTGGCTAGCTAACAAAAACCACCTTGCTAGACTCCTGGGGTCAGCAGACTGTTAGAGAGAATTCCAACTCATTGAGGTAGCCCTGCTTTTTCATGTGTGACCCTTCTTAACACCTGACCATGTACTGAGGACTTCCCTGGGAGCTAGTGGCTTGGTTCAGTTGACCATGTAGTGATGTTCTGCTGGGACAGATTCCAGCCGTGTCCTTCATGCTTTATGTATTACCTTATGGTGCCTCCTCTTCCTTCTGAACCTGAGCAGCTCTTTGTGCTGCCGAGACACAAAGTTGACGGCAGCGTACTCTAGAAGTGCAGAGAACACAAACAGCAAGCACACAGCCATCCAGATGTCTATGGCCTTCACATAGGACACCTAGGAGTCAGACAGAGAGACTGAGATGGGATGGCTTCTTCACCCAAATGCTTTTTTGCTTGCCATTTTACATGTTATTCCCAAGGTCTTTGGAAGGAGTTGATCAAGCCGTGATATGGTTGACATCTGCTCTTTAATACCAAAATCTAGCTCGTTTAATATGAATGTATTATCAGGCCACTGAAAGTGCTCCTGGGCTCTTAAGTAGCAATAATTCCACAGTTTTTAATTTATCCAGGTCTTGTTTGTGATGGTTTATATGCAAGGAAAATAGTAATCTAGTCTGATCACCCCAGAAGCCCTTCATAACAGGGAAATTCAGTACTATTATAAAAGTATGATGGTCAAGTGAGTAAAAAGCTAGAATGTAGAGTGCATATCCATGTGTGGTTGTTGCAGGGGTTTGTAAAGTACAGAGCTCCTGGCTAGTGGGAGCTGTGGTGGATCTTGGGGTGAGTGCTGAATCTTAGGGAAAGTTTTGCTGCTAGTCATAGGAAATCTGCTAAAATTTTTGCAGGAGGGGACTGGAATTTGTTCTGCTTGCCCTTAAACTGGAGTAGTGCAATGGCAGCAGAATATCTCTTGTGTTGAGCAGGAGGATCTGTGTGGTGACTTACTTATGTGCTGTCCCCAGAAAGTGCACATTTTGCCCCTCTGCAAAGATAAGTGTGTTCCCTACCTTGGGCAGTGATGCTCGGGAACCAGAGCTCTGTGTGGTCATAGTGAGCACCGTGGTGATCCCCAGGCCAACACGAGCAGGTGCAGCATCCATATTGATCCAGAAGGAGATCCAGGACAGAATGACAATAAGGAGGCTGGGGATGTACATCTGGATCAAGTAATAGCCCATCTGCCGCTCCAGGTGGAAACGAGCTTCTATACAGGTGAACTTGCCTGAGAACGACGGGAGATACATGGAAGATTACTGATAAGGCACAGTGAGCCTTCTGTTCTCATCTATTGTCTGGGGACTTTCCTTGCATTGCCTAGAACCAGAGTCTTGTTAGAGGAGGAAATTAACAGCTGTTGCCCAGTTCTGAAATATGAATGTACAACATCAACACAGCAAAGAAAGCTCTTGGCAGTATGTCCTTTGTCACTTAAATTTCACCTGCTCCCTTGCATCAAAGATAAAAGAAGATGCTGGGAGAGAAGGTACAGACCAAACACCCTTGAACAGATGCAGATGTTACAGGGGACAAGAGGGTTCCACACACTTGTGTCTGTTAGCTTTTTATTGGCTATATATGTGTAAGTTTGCTGGAAACATGTCTATGTGTATTTATATGTATGTTGTCCCTAGCCGTGTAGAACAAGGCTTGTATTACCAGAGTGCCATCAGACATTGCAAGAGACTCTGGGAAATACACAGTCCTGAATTCCTCTCTAATGAACCCAGCAGCTAAGGGTAACCAGCACTGACCTGTGTTATAGTGCTTTGTGCAGTATCTCAAGTCTTTTTCTTCTTTGAGGATAAACTGAGGCAAAGTCAGCCCGTCAGCAACTTGCACGGCTCCTTTTTCTTGCCACTCAAATATGAGATCATTCATTGTGTAGCCAACTGTTGAGAGGAGGAGACAAATACCATGTGAAACATATTAAATACTCATCTGGAAAGGGACAGATTTGTAGAAGAGAGCTATGCTTGGAGGCAAAGATTTATCCTGGCCTTCCTTGGCAATGCTGTAATGAATGGGATTTGGGTTGAGGCAGAACTGCTTATGCATATGGTAAAAGCTAGGATAATGACCTGCACTGGAGCTGTGATGGTGTGCAATGAATTGTCTGCAATAAAACACATTTTTTTCTTGAATTTGGCTTGTTGGGCTGTTTGCTATTTTTTCAAACTTGACCTCTTTCTCTGAATGAAGTTGTGCATCATCTTTTCCTCCTTGGGGATAAGCAACGTGTACAAGGGGCAAATGTTCATCCAGAGAGAAAAAATCCCATTTGCAGCTGAAAGCACTTTCACCTTTCTCTTCCAAAGTGAAAGGCCAATGTAAATACAAGCAAGCCAGAGCTCCTCTCGTGGGATCTTTTAACATTTGGCTTCTCTAGGAATTGTCACATGTTGAATGAATGGAAAATCCTGAGCAAGCGGTTCTTGAGCAAGCCTCCAGTGAAGGCTGAACTGGGAATGGGTTGCAGCTGGGGAGGGAGATGGCAGGAGAGAGAGAGAGGGAAAACTCATTGTATCCTCTCCAAAACAGAGATGTGCACAGGACTCACAGCTTTCTAACTGCATGATGCACGTCTGTACGTCCATGGGGAAGTTCTTGAGGTCCATGGGGCAGGCCAGAGTCAGCGTGATCCTGAGGAGAGAAGACAGCACAGGGGAATGCCAAACAGTTTGTGGTACTGATGAGAGGGCGAACCCTCTCGGACGCCCAATGTTGCAAACAGGCTGGTACCTTGCCCAAGGCACACTGGTGTGCTGGGGGAATGACTGATCATGCACCTCTTCCCTGCCTGTGTTTTCACATGTGGTGCTGGAAAGCATCAGAAATGCCGAGCATTTAGGCCTGTGATATAATTCCCAGCAGAGTTGCCTGATGCAGATGGCGTTTCATTGCAATGTTGTTTTGGACTGTGCAGAACAAAGCGTTCCTGCACCAAACAGTTTTGCTGCTTCTGTCTCCATTTCTTGCCTCAGGTTCACAACAGTCTGGATTAGCAGTAAGCCCAAACTCATCCTCTGCACCCCCCCAGATACATTGCTAGAGACTGGGACTGTTTGGAAGTCTTTGAACAGAACATTTCTGTGTCAGAAAAAAAAAAAGACTTTTGGTCAAGATCACACGTTGCTGTGGGGGAAAAGAGAGATTTTGGTGGGATTTTCTGCAGGGAAAATGCCCTGTGGTAAGTCAATATGAATCTCTGTATCTTCCTGAGTTCCTGCTGTGTCTCTTAAGGACCTCTACTTTTGTCTCTCGAGCTCTATTTTCCACTAGGTGCAGGCTGCATTTTCTGTGGTATATTGCTGTGCTGCCTTATACCACGATCTATGCTCAAAATGTTTGGTTCAACAAACTGATATTAAATGATTTGTTTCAGAGAGCTAGACTTGTGTTACTTGGTTTGATAATGCCAAAAATGTTGTTCCCTGAAGTGTTCAGATTTTTCAGCTTTTTGCCTTGATGTAGAAATAGCAGAACTTCCTGGGGGACGGGAATTGAATTTTTCTATCATCAGACCTACAAGAAACTTAGTAGGATGGAAAGAGAGTTTAACTTAATTCCTTATGTTGGAATAAATTCTCTGCTTGAGTTTAGAGGCATGTTGGGACAGAAGATGTGACAGTAGAAAGAATCAACCTGTTCAAGTTTCCTTTTTATGAAAGCAACTGCATTTTCTGTATTTAAACAAACACCTTAGCAGAAGAGAGTCACCGCTAGCTTTTGCCCACTTTGTTTTTCTCATCGCATCTCTGGCAGGGGACTCCATCTCTGATCAGTCAGAGAGATAAGCCTTCAATTAGATCTTCAGACAAGCCCCTTGAGAAGAATTTCCTGTAAATATCTGGCAGATGTGGAACAGGGGTGACTGTGGCTGCGACTAGGTTGTGAGATGCCGAGCACATGCTGGACAAGTGTGTGCTGAGAAGGGACCAGAGGGTGAAATCCTCAAGGGTGATTTTAGGTGAACCCAGTGCTGAGCATGCTGAGTTTTGGGTCCATGGGACAAAGTCCACCTTCTTCTAAGTGCCTTGACTAGAGTTTGACTAGTGCAAATAGTAGTAGCAAAGAGCCAGTTAGAAAATGGCAGAGCACTTTAGATGGAAATGTTTTTTTAAAAGGGAAAGACTATTTCTCCTTTTGGAAACTATTTAAGTTGTGTTCTTCCATCATGAATGTCCTCTTTTTGGTTTTCATAGGAAAATGTACTTAAAAAGAAACCTATATTTTCATTTGGAGATGAGAGAGAGAGGGGAAAGTTCTTTTTTTAAAACAAGAACTGAAGTGTTTTCAAGTTTTTGTCTTGAAAACAGTGACCAGCTCAGCCACATTGCTCCATGTCCCCTGCTGAGTCATTGCCCTGTTTTGCAGAGCAACCCCAGGGCTGGGGTGACCCATTATTCCCCCTCTGTGCTCCTGCAAACCCACCTGGAACAGGACTCTGTGCCGCGCTCACTGCCAAATTGTTGGTGGTGGTGTTACTACCTGCCTGTTTTTAGAAATTAAGAAATGTGAGGTTTCTACATTCAGCCAACATGCATGGCAATTCTCTTACTGTTTTGGCCATCAGGGATCTGGTCTCTGGACTGGAACAACCACGACGTTTGATGGAGGCTGTCTACATTGCAGAATTAAGCTGCTTATTTTCCATTTTACAGCTCCATGCTGCTTTTTCTTCTCCATGGCTGCCACTGGGAGCTGCAGCGTGAGATGGGGTGCGTGTACCTTAGGCAAATTTACATTATACATGAGGTGAAAGATAAAGTTGAACTTTCCCTCTTTAAGCTCATGAAGTTTGATCTTAATTTCATTGGTTTAAGGAGTGGATGGGGTTGGAAGTGAAGGGGGGGGATTGGATTGGTTTCCTGTGGGAAATTCAGTGCAATTAGTTCAGCTTCACTGATGGATTCTTGGATCTAGCGATAAAAGGGAAGAGTTATGTTGAGATGAAGCCATGGAGCTCTACTTATCAGTTTCCCTAGTTTTTTGTCAGGAACTACTGCAGTTTTCAAAACATAGTTTTTCATGGGCTTCTACCAGTTTTCATGTAGTACAGCTGGTTTTAGGCTTGTGTTAGTATAATATCTCCAGTAATTTTACATGAGGGATCTTAAGGAATCGACTAGTGAGGAGCAGAAGTCCTCAGACTGGGAAAGGTAGAGATGTGCTAGATTCCTTCCCAGACCAACCCTTGATCTCAATATGCTTTGGCTAACACCTTCCTGGTTATTACTTTTCTGCCTGTTGTAGAAGCAGCAGCGAGTGGCGACCATCTGGCTGAAGGACCCACATCCTTCTGCTCCAACATGGATTCAACTACTGATGTAAGGAGGCATTTCCCATCCTCCCTTTTTCACTCAATTTTTTTTCTCTACCTTCTGCAAATAAAACTGTTTCTGAAAATAAATTTCCCAGGTGTAGTTGTGTCTTAGCGAGCGTTGAGGACAGAGCTGCCTGGGGGTGTGGAAGTACCCCCAGCTATGCAGTGGTCTCTGCCATCCCAGAGGCAGCCCAGCTCATGGTGTACAGTCTCCATGCCTTTTGAAAGCACCATCCTTCTCCAAGATCCTGACTTCTGGAAGGAGGCATGAGGCACAGGAAAATTTGTCTCTGTCTCAAGCTCTTCATTGGTGTGTGATAGAGCACTACCAGGCTGCCCAGTCCTTTTGGATGGGCATCTTCTTATTTCACCGTGAAGAAAAATAATGGTGTTTTGCATGCTTTTTTTTAAAGGGAAACTACTAATGCAAAATTAGGACTTGAAGCTCAGGTAGCTGGTGGCAGTTTCTTAGAAGGATTCCACACTTTTGCCAACCTCTTCTTCTTGGGGTGGCTGGAGAAAGACATCTTCACTTACAGCATTACTCTGCTCCCACAAGGACGTGCTTAGACATGCAAACAGTGAACTGTATAGTATACCTTACTGCTGTTAAGCACAGGTTAATGCTGGATGTAAAGGTCCAGATGAGGGAGGCGGTTAATGACCTTTTTCTTTCTTTTAGCTTGTGTAGCTGTATTTAACTCAAAAAAAATTGAAACACTATTGGTCAGGAAAATAAGGATCTGTTTCACCTTTCAGTGATTTTTATGCGAAGGAATCTGCCCCAAAAGGAGGATGAAACACTGGCAGAGGCTGCCCACAGAGGTTGTGGGATCTCCATCGATGGAGCATTTCAGCATTTCAGCTAACCTGAGCTGCTATTGTCAATCATTGGGAGGTGGTTGCATGGGACACCTCCAGAGGTCCCTTCCCACCATGTTGCTATGACAGTGTTAATTGGATGCTCTCCCACTTAAACCCCCTCAATTTCTTTTATCCAATGGCATGCTCAAAGTCTCCACTTTCTCATTTTAGGCTTGAACAGTGCAAGTTTAGCTCTGCCCTCCCCCACCTTGGTGGAGCTCTCCCCATTGAGTCACCTCACCTGATGCTGTAGAGGACATTGCCATTTCTGGAGATCCTCAGAAGCTTGTTGTCTGTGGTAATCTCATGGAAATGGGCCCCTTTCTCATTAGCGAAGAACAAGTCAGGCTTCCAGATGGAGTCCAGCATAGAGGGGTCCAGGTCCAGAGAGTCATCAGGATATTCGTTGTATGCCAGCCGCGGGTCATTCCACTGCTGTCGCAGGAAGATGTTCACCCTGTAATCCTGCACGGTGTAAGCAGGGAGCAGAGGAATGCAGTTAGTGCTCAGAGCAGGCTGAAAGTCCTGAGAACTGGGGAACATGTACTAAAATCATTCTCAAAAACAAACCATGTCTAGACCTACATTCCCAAGCTATGGCAAACCTTCTTGGCATTATTTCTCAAGGAGCTGTCGTTATTTTTAGCTCTGTAGCTTACAGCTATCTCATAGCATGAGCAGCTGCCTATCCTTGCATTCCTCCATCACAGCAATCATAAGCTGTGTGTGAAGTGTCAAGACCTCTAATCTGAACCCCGGGGCTGGAGAAGCGATGTTTGGTTGCAGGGATCGTAAGGGCTGGTGTCAGCAAGATGACTGTTGCAGAGGATTAAGGGGGGAAGGACATTGAAGCCAACTTCTTTTCAGTGTTGAACCATCCTATATTGTGACTATGTACGGTTCCTCCAGACTTGTGAAAAGAAAAGGCACAGTAAGACAGGCAATCCATGGAAGGGATGTTCCCTGTGTGTTCACTAATATAAGGGTAACTCAGATGAACTGATGAGATGCCCTTGGTGAGAATATGTGAACATGGGAGGGATGTGCATGAAGTCTACTCTCCTAATCCTAAGTGAGTGTTCTGGGTTCCCCTCTCCAATGTCTAAATGCCATAAATGCTACAGATTTTATAGGATGACCATCTTCTTTAATTGAAACGAGTCCCCCAGCACTATGCAAAATTATATCTGCCTAGTAACTGTGTGTCTTACAGCTCCCCTGAGTTCCCCAGGCCAAGGCTGGCTGTTGAGGTCGAGCTCAGACACTCTCCTGGACAATTAAAGGCAGTTTCAGTTCTCCCTGTCTAACCAGTAGCTTCCCAGGGTGATCTGCGTGCCTCTTTTCTGCTGAATTTCACATAAGAAAGTGAGCCAACAAACTGAAATGGGGAGAGGACGTGCCAGCTATCAGGAGAGAGATAAAAGCTCCATGTCCATAAATTAATTGTCATTTTCTAAGTTTAGAGGCAGACTGCATCTGAAGAGCAGTATATAATAAACCAATTTCACTGCCCTGGCCCAAACTAATAGTTGCTATCATGATTAAGGGTTTCTTTGGTGCCTTTCTAATGCTCATGTACTTTGAAGACTTTTATTAAGAGACAGTTAATGGAGGGTGTCTGACATGCTTACAGGTATCTAATATCTGCTGCAGGCACTAGGACCTTTCCTTCAGTGAGACTATTTGGCATCTCTGAGGAGATCTTTCTGACTCTGCCATCAGGTCTGTTCTTTCCATCTGGAGAACACAAAGCTCTGGAGTGAAGGGTGCATGTGGAGGAGAGTCTTTCTGATGTTGCTGCCTCAAGTGCTCGCTTGACTGTGAACCTACAGCCTCTTGTCCAGGAGGACATGACTCTTGTGGAGTCCAGGCACACTGGAGGGCTGGGAGAGGATTGTGTCTTGGGTGCTTTGTGTTTTTGCATGGGGCAGTTCATAGCCAAGCCCATGGTCTAGAATCTGTTTCAGGCCACGTAGTGCCATCTGCATCCTCGGAGCACAGAAGCTGCTAACGACATTAATGATTGTGACAACAGCAAATGGACCAAGGACTTGATGCTAAAAGGAGCAGAGGTCTGAACATGAAAAAGAGTTGCAACACTCTCTCCTTCTGCTGATATTCCTAATGTCACCTTCACAAGTCCTAGTGCATGCCTCTGACTTAATTACTCATCTCTGTCCACGCTGGATAATGTGTCTTGAGAAAATGTGAATAGCTGTGGACAGCTCGGAACCAGGGTCTTAGCGCAGGACTAGCCAATCATGCAAACCTGGAAAAGGAAAGCAACCCTGAATCTCCACTTCTCATGGCATGCAGCAGCTCCCCGAACAACATGTATACTTTCAGTTCTCCCTTTGCTGTGTGTAAGGATCTGCAGCCATTGCAGTCAGGGGAAATCAATGTCACTGACCTAATAGGTAGAAAGCAAAAGGTTGTTTTGCTTATTCAGCTACAAATAAGCTGGATGCTAGCAGGTCAGCTCCAGTTGGGGGCTTATGTCATGTACAACACAAATTAAACTCACGTTTGGAAGAAACTTCAGTGGTAGCTGCCCAGAAGTGTTCTCAGCCTGACTGAGTGTTGGAAGGGGGGTGGGGTGGTAAATGGAGCCAATCTCTCTACAACAATCTGTGTTGCCGCAAATAAGCTTTGTTGCAGGAGTAAATTGACTGCTTCAGTTCCAAAACTTGCCAAAAGGAAAGGAAAAGGTGAGAAGAGAGGTGTAGTGTGGTTTATGTTGCCACCACAGCAGGCATAAGAGGCCACAGACAGAATGACTGCCATAGTCTTTGTCACCATGATGAAGGATCTTAATTACATGCTTGTGGGCCAAATGAAAATTAACTTCTCACAGTAGATGACTCTGAGAAGGGCCCTCCTAACTCATCTCCAGAGACCGAGTGTCCTGTACTCATGTTCTACATGGGAACAGTCCAGGGGCATGTCGTAGATGTGTGGTGTGAGAGACTGCACTACTTCCATCCAGGGGATGTTCAGCAGTGTGGTGAGTAACTCTGGTGTGTGCTATTCTTTGTGCTCCTCCTTTGGAGACAAGTGTTTGCAGTGGATATTTTTCTTTTTTGGAATATAGACACCTGAGCATTTATGTTGTAATATGAAAAAGGCAAGGACATAGAAATATAATACATGCACTGAATGCAATTCTCTGTCTTTGTCATTTTATGGCATTAATATTTTACCTATGTATGTGTGTGTGTTTATGAAGGTCTTCCTTATTAATGGGTTTATTCCACAGTCCTGGTCTGGCCACTGAGAATGGCTGTTTCCTCCTAGATACCTTTTCCCTTATGACAGACAGCAGCATTGCACTGTAGTATTGAAGGTGCGGAGCAGCCTTTTAGGTTTCTTGTGTCCAGGCTTATTTGAACATAAATGTAAAAACAAGCACTGTGACTGCAAACTGGACATGACACTGCCAGAGGAGCCAGCAGAAGGCGTGGAGAGCAAATGGAGCATGTCTGTGGCTGTGACATAGCCTAAGATAAGGATTACAGTATTCTGTACCAGCTAAAGTATCCTGTGTGTAAGCTTTGTGCCTAGGCATTGCAGTCAAGCTGAGAGGTGATGAGCCAAACACTCATTCGTTGGCTACATGGAGAGCTACAGTGTTTCTCCTGGATGCTGTTGTATGAGATCTTAATTAGCATCACCAAGAAGTCCACGGTTATTCCTCAATGGTGCACAGAACAGACCAATTTCTGATGTGAACGTTCAAGCAAAAAAAAAAAAAAAAGGTTTTACTGGGACTGCAAACTCAGCAAAAAAAATCTCTTTCTCCATATCCTTCTTATCACTTGAGTTCCTCATTTGTGTGCCAATCACATCCAGGCATTGATTATCTTGTGCAGCCTGCTCCTCTGGCTGGCTTGGGAGTGGAGAGCAGCAACTCTGTGTTATGAAGGCATTCAGGGGCTTTGCAGTTTGGCACAAAGGCATTTTACTCCCAAGGGTGAAATGACACAGGGCAGGAAGGAACTAACTGAAGTGATCAAAGTAGTTCAGTTTGATAATGCTGAAGTGAAATTCTGCTTAGTGGCCTCGCAAGGAGCCAAGGAAACAGAAGATCATTTCAGACTGTTCCTTCCCCAGAGACCACAGTCTTGGCATCTGATGATGAGTGAGTGGATGAAAGCAGTGGCAGGCTGGAGGTAGTGCTGTGAAGAAGGGATGAACGCTGTCAGGAAACTCAATAGGTTTCAGCCCCTGACTCAGGGGTTCTGTCAGACCAGCCTCAGCACCAGTTTTGGTGAGAGACTTCACTTTGATAAATTTACATTTTGCTGATGGAAAAAAACAGGGTAGAGACTGAACTCCCTCAGGAGAGGATTCTGATATCCCACCTGGACAGCAGAGCACAAGGGGCTTTATTGACATTGGGTTCATTCTCTAGAAGGGGAATGAACAAACATTTTTAAGGCTACTTGTCCTGCAAAGGAGCACTACAACAGACTGATTGCAAAAAAACCCCAAAAAACCACACTAGGAGCAGACCTTGGAAGGGTTAATAGGGGACCCCATTACCTTGCCACAGCTGTGGCCAAGTAGCCAATTTGAAGCCTCCTGTGAAAGCCACAGCTGGGCCAAAGGGAGGAGGCTCTGTGAATGGTAGTTGCATTAGAGGTGCTGCTGAGGAGGAAGTCTGTTGCTTGAGGAAGGTAGGCACGTGGTGAGGGGTGGGAGCACTACCTTGGTGCTTAATACGTATGAGTTTTTTTCTGTTCTGGAACCCAAAGCAGGAAGTTTTTCAGGGCCTTCCTACAAGAGGAGGGGTAAGCATATTCCTCTGGGCCAAGGATGGAGCTGCTGAGGGCGGTGGGCTGTAGCTGCTATCCTGAATTTCGTACTTAGGAATTTAATAGCGAGGTCTTGTTCTTCAGATTGTTTTTTTATGTCCTTGTATTTGGGTTGCATAGTCCCATTTCATGGCTTCCTGCCCCCCCCATTCAGTGCAAAGACAAACTCCAACCATAAAGGTGGCTAAAACACTGCAGGTCTAATATTGAAACTGCAGCAGACTGTGAGATGGTGTGAAAACCTTCTCATTTTGCTTTGTGTGACTTGTTACATACTTATCATCTCTGTGGGGCTGATGGTTGGTTTTAAGAATGACTGACTGCAGACAACTGAGCTCAAAGTGTAGCCTTTGTTACAGGCTTTGTGCATGGATACTTGCATCTTTCACTGACCTTGGGGTGAGTGGGCCCAGTGTTGAATGTGACCCATATGCTTCATCAGTCAGATTTGCTGTCTGCTGCACTATGGCTTGTGAGGCTGGAGTGAATTGCTTAGTCTGTTTTGCAGGATGGTTTGTTATCTCATTGGAAAGCTGATATACAGATGTCTCTGAATAAGTATTTAACACTTGGACAGTTGCAACCTCCAGCTTCTCCTGTCCTTAGGAGATGCTGGGAGACTAATTGTGGCTGTGATGCAGCTGGCTGGGAGGTTACATTTAGTTTGCTCTTTTCAGATGGCATAACTATGGCATGAAATCAGCAGAAACAAATCTGCATATGTACACTGTATGTAGGGGAGCCTGTGCTGGCTGTTTTGTGGTTTTCTTTCTTTTATGCTCTTGTTCGCTGCATGTAGGCCCTTTTTAAAACATGGGACTGGGATGTGTCATCTTGAGCACTGAGTCCAACTCCTAGCAGCTCTGCTGATGATATAAAACAGTATTCCTCCTTCTCCATGTGCCTTCACTGTATACAAAATGCTCCTGACTGCCTAAGCCAGTGAGAGATCCATAAAACTGCAGCTTCCATTGGAAGGGAGATCAAGGGCATTGCTCAATCCCAAGTTTGCTATTATAGCAGGAAATTTGTTAGATGAAATGCTCAGATAATCCTACCAGTTGTCTCATGCTACAAAGAAGAGCCAAAGCTGGTGCAGTTTATTCACTTAAGCACCCAGGGAACAGGGTCTTCGTTTTGACTTCTGTTTCATTTTGAATAAAGAATTTGTAGCTTTGCTATAGGTTTCTTGCTCTGGTGTGGCTGGGCGGAAGGTGTTTATGCTTTTGAAGAGCAAAAAGGGATTTAACAGCTTGTGGTTGGGGATTGTTTGGTGTTTTTAATAAAAATGAGTGGATGCATCTTGCAGTTGTTCTCTGGAATCCCTTGCTGTTGGATGCACTATTGTAGTAATGCTTTGGGACAGAAGGAGGCTGTCTGGACTTGTCTGGCTGTGGTAGTCTGTAGTATCTTTCCCCTTGAAACACTTGTTGGGTTCACAGGGATGTGTTCCAAACCACAGGTTCCCTGGTCCATAGAGCTGACTGCAAGTGAGGTTGATGGATACAAGTTATGAGCCACAATCTAACATAAATGTTCAATCAATGTTGTGTACCACTAGAGGCTTTTATGTTGGATCTCCAGTTCTGCAGGATGCTTAAAGGAGTTCATTTCACTCACTCTAAGTCAGCTCTGCTTTGGGGAATTCAGTTTGGATGCTTTCCCCCCCCCCCCCCCTTCCTTCCTTCCTTCCTTCCTTCTATCCTTGCAACAGTTTTTGGGTCTCCATTTCTTGCCTTGTTCATTTTGAACCTTTGTGGGGCAGATACCAGCTTTCTGCCCACTCTGGGAAGTCTGTGCCTTCTCTCGGCCCCAATTCATTATCCTCCCTTCTGAGGTTCGTGGACCCGAATGACTGCATCAAATGCCTGTTTTGTTCTATTTTCTCCTCTTCCTCTACCTTCCATGATGCCTCAAACTGTTAGTGAGCATTCATCTCCAATTTCTCTAATCCTTTGCATGGTGACGTAATGATTTACACTGATTTATGAGATTCAGGCAGTGTAAACTTAAATGGCAGCAGTGGCATTTTCTGTAGGAACTAACAGCCCCGCTATGGAGATATTTTACAGCTGTCTGTAACTGCATGTGTAGTATCCATAAAAAACCTGCGACTCTTCTTCTGCAGGTAGTAGTGCAATAGTAACTAAACATAAGATGATGTAGTACTCAAAATCTGAACCTGGCCAGGCTTAGCGTGCCTAATGATTGAGGTTTAAACCATAATGTTGTTCTTTCTCTTTTGGCCAGTGAAGCAGCTGGGGGAGTGTTACCATCGTCAGTCCCAGGGGTCAATGATAGACTACTACTTTCTTTATGGTAAAACATTGAATTGCCTCTCTTCCCCACCCTGATATTTGATCGCTTGCCTGAATTCAGAGTAGTCAGGTCTGTCTCAAAATCCCTTCATGGCAGGACCTTCTGCCCTTACCAGAAACTGTGGTGGGGAGGTGACACTGACCGTTTGACCTGCTGCATCTTCAAACAGAGGGGAGAGACTGGCTTCTCTGCAGAGTAAATCCCAGGTTAGCAAATCCCAAAGACTGCTCTGACTTGCTGGGCTCTCATTTTTGGATGTTTCTGTACTGTGTTGCTTGAGTTCTCCTCAGCATTTACAAGCAGAATTGCTGTCCCCCAAAGAAGCGCATTGTATGAGGTTGTGTGCAATGCTGTGTCAGCCTGACATCTGGACTAGCTTGTCAGAGCTGGCTTGGGTATTTGTAGACAAAGCAACGTGCCCAGAGGGTTCCCATGGGGATTTTTTTCTATGGAAGATAGACTATGAAATGAATGGCATCTGGAGAGGATAGCAAGTCCCTGCAGCATGTCTTGGAGGTGAACCGCATCTCTCTCTCGTGCTAGTCTATGTTAATTTTATGGAACATCCTGCTCACTGGGATCCTGTGGCGTCTTTGTATGACTGCTCCAATACATCTTGCAATGTAGGACAGATATATTGAAAAACATGTCATTGTAATGTGCTCTGTATGTTGCACAGGATCCCTTGTGGGCCTACCCCTCTCCCTTGCAGTCTGTGGATCATCTCTGCTAGACTGTGTAGGAACAGACTATTTATTGCCTGTAACACCAAAGGAGGGAGGTGTCCAATAAAATAGTACATTAGGAACAGATTTTCTCCTCTACATTTTAGTTCTCTCTCTTTTGCTTTATATACAAATGAATCCATGAGTATACTTCTTGCCTATGAACTCTGACAAATTCTGCAATCCAACTATGAAATGTGTTTCTTTGTGCTTGGACAGAGTAACAGCTTTTTTTTTTCTACTACTGAAACTGAACTGCTTCTGACCCCAAACACTTCCAGAAGAATGTTATAGTGTCAAAAGAGACGTATAACCCCAGGTATATAGCTGTTGATCTCCTCTGACAGTGGTGTGCATGACAAGTAATGTTCAAGTCAAGTGGTGTAATCTATATGTAAAGCCTAAACATCCTGCCTGAATGCACAAAACGCCTGAAGCTGGAGTCTTGCATTCTTCATTCAATATCTTTCTAGAAAAAGAATTACCAAAGAGTAATTAAACACTATTTTTCTGGATTAACTTTAATTAGCACAGAGGTAAGGCACTGTACCTCCAGAGTTTTCCTTTGCTGTTCACTGATTATGTCACAACTAATCTTTAATAGTTTTCAGATGGAGCAATTATCTCCTGTTCCAGTGATCCTCTGCTCCTCGTGTCTTGCCAATTAGATACAGCCTTTAGCCATGTTCACTAATTTTGTCTGAAGTAAGCCTTAACTTGCAAAAACTGTGGGTTTTTTATTAAAAATCATTGTCTAACAGAAATATGTCTCCAAGAAAATAATTATCTAGTGATTCTCTTAATCTTTGGGAGTCTGAAATCTGGTGCAGACTGAATTTGAGTCCAGCTGATTTCCCTTCACTTAAAGTGTTGATTCAAGCTTCTGGATTTATATGCACTTAAACACAAAGTATCTGCAACTGTCTCTGAGCTTGGAGCCTTAGGCAAGTCTTCAGAAAAGACTGTTTGCTGCCTTTTCTGACCCTTATACTTTGCCTGTACAGTGTTTTCATAGAGATGCAAATAGAGACTGTGTGATCTTCAACTACATGAATTGCGAGTCTTGTGCGTTGACCATTAATTTACTCAAACCTTAGGTAAACTTGGGAACACGGAGCCAATATTTTCCTCTGCTCACACTAAAGAGGAGGGTGATGCTGCATTTGCTGGGAGCGCAGTGAGGCTGAGCAGATGTGCTGTGATTTTTACTTACCATAGTTGTTTCTGCAATCGAACCAAAGCTGTTGATGAAAATGTTGCAGCTGACATTCACTGGTGGGCCTGCATGACAAATACAGATTGGAACAGCATTTCACTGTGTGTTTATAAGACAAAGTATTTTCACTCTGTAGTACTAAAACCTATTGTGGGAACAGGGTGACTGAGGGGTGGGTATGGGAATAAGGTCTCGATGGCCGGCTTAGTCTAGTCGTGGTTCTGATGCCAGTTTGACATCAGACAATGCTCTTGCTCTGCCTCTGTTCTCCTGTTTGGGAGAGTGTTTATATATCTCTTCTGTGAACTGTTTTGATGAAAAGGAATAGATCACAGCCAGGCAGGACAGCTTTCTGGATATCTTGACATTGCTGTATGGGTGCCAAGCTCACCTTGAATGTGATAGCAATGTATCCCAGAAAAGAGCTGAGAGACTATTGACAGGCCCTCTTGTTTAGAGCTCTATACTTTAAAATACTCATTTGAAGAATCTAAATGTTTCTAAACTAGGACCATACACTCCCTACGGAGCCAGTGCAGCAGTGTGCTGTAGGGATCAGGCTGGGTAAAGGAGCAAGTACCCCATGTGATAATGGTGGTGTCTGCTAAGGCTCACAGCTGGGTAGGAGACCTCAGGCCTCTGCCAGCAGAAGGTTCTATGGCTGTACTGTTTTGGGGGAGGGTATTCCCAGACTTTGGGCCATGCCTCTCCTGGACTTTATTTGCTTTCAGACCAAAGCTTTGCTTAGCCTGCTTGTATTAGAAGAGTTAAGGGACCACCAAAGGAGGGGCATGAGGATTAAGGGATGAAAAGATTGTGGTTAGAGGATATGGGGATCAGTCTGTTTGTGTGGTGCTGGTGCCCGAAAGTATCAGTATGACTGGAAGTGGATCACAATATTGCCTGGCAAATTTGAGGTGAAAATGTTGCATTTGGACTGAGGGAAATGCCAAGAGCTGCAGTTCAGCACAAAGCAAAAAGCTGGAGAACATTTTGGAACCAGAGGCATATCTGGTGCCTGGCAAACCAGTGGCTTGCCCACATATAATGAGAGGATTTCTGTAGAGCCTTAACAAGGGAAAGGGAGAAGCGAACAGGGCCTCTGCTCTGGGGGCTCCTGAAGGAGCTGCTACTGGTCCCGCCCAGTGTGTGGTGGGGAAAGGGAGCCCAGGCAGAGAGCAGAGGATACTGCCCCAGGAACCAAGTTCCCCCTTAACACTGGGGGAATTAATCTTGTATCATCCCTGTGCCAGATGCTTCTGGGAAGATAAGATCTGTGCAAGAGGCGAGTGTGGATTTTTAGATTATTCCCCCACCCTTTGTGGAGATGAGGATGGTGTCTGCATTTTGAACGCTGCCTGATGGCTCAGCCTTGCTTGGGGAGTGATGCTTGCCCCTTAAGGCCACATCTGCAGTCTGGCAGCTGCTGCAAGATGAAATACTGGGAGGGAGGAATGGCTTTAACAAGAGGCTTGTGCCTCTAATCAGTGCAAACTTCCTTCTGTGTGGAAATTAATGGAATTTCCTGATTACTAAGTAACATTTGGAGCTTGGTTTGCTCCTCTTCATTTCCCTTTCCTCCTCTCCTACTTTGGCCTCTTCTGAAACTTTGTGCCTGTCCTCTGCAGGAGTAGGATTGCAGCCATGTAACAGCGATGTTCTCTATGGCTGGGATTTTCTTGGTATGAGTCCCAGGCCATCTGAACAGGCTTCTGTCTAACCAGCTCCCAGACAGCCCTTTGCCAGTGCAGCAGCAGATCACATACTGTTCAATTTGTGCAGCTCTTCCTCCAGACTGTTAAACATAGGCATAGGCTAAAATATCAGATACAAAATGGTGTCTCTTTTTTTTTTTCATCCTTCACCAAACCCTCTTATCCAACAGGCTTATGAAGTCTATCCAGCAGCTGAAAGCACACATTTGATCAGGCTTTAACGCTTGTTTTATCCCTTCTGTAGTGCTCCTGTTGAGCTCAGGAGTAATAGTTTTCTTCTATACAGTTCATGAGATGGATCCAGGGAAGGTCCATGTGCACGTGATTTCCCTTCCCAAAGGGCACAGCATAAGAAAAATACTGAGCAGACCTCCTGGATGACTGCATGTGCTCATGCCTTTGACATGTGTGAAAGATTTTTGGCCCTCCTCTTCCTGAGCCTGTGCTGATGTGAAGCTGAGTGTGGGATGAGCTTGGCCCGGTGCGTGTGAAGAAGACTCTCCTTGGGGCAGCCTGACTCTTGTTGAGGCACTGTGCTCTGCCCACTGCATCCAAGGGGAGCTGTGAGCACTCTGCAGGGTTTGGTTTTTTTTTTTAGCTTGTGTGAGGCTCTAGAAACTTTCCTGCGCTGAAATGTGCCACCTCTGCAGTGGGATGCAGCTGTAAAGGAATATAGTTTTCCAGCAGCAAGGTTAAGGGTACAGCCTCGATGAGAGGTCCCTTGTCCCACACCTGCTGGGTTCAGGTCTGTCCCCGTGTGAGTTACTGGCTTCATCCTCCAACTTAAACCAAAGCCCAAATGCTTCTTCCTTGTTCTCAGAATGTGAATCCCCAGCTAAGTCCAGACTTTACAGCATTTATGGAAAAGCTGCAGTCATCTTTTTGTTAATCTTCCCCTCCCCAAAAATCAATCTGATATGGATCTTTGGTATTATTTTCATTTAGATCTAAGCCATTAAAATGCCCTTATGAATTACTGCAGTTAATTTAAATGACATGCTTTGAGAGCTACAACCCCAAGCTCTGTAAAAGACCTCCTATGCCTCCCATATAAATTGGAGCCTGATTTATGCGTGGGAGGCTAAGCCAGCAAAACTGCCCTGTGGGGAAGGTGTAGTTCATTGAAATAAAACTGAAATTAAATTATCTGAAATAAAAATGCAATACAGCTGCCTTCATTTTTTTTAATGTATACATCTCATTAAATATTAAAGTTTAATTTCTTTTGTGCGTGTGCATAACTTGGTGGTAGGCAGGTTTACAGGGTGGTTTCTTAACTCTTTGTGATTTGGATAAAAACAGCAGTGTTTTCTGTTGCCTAGTTGATTACTAGGACATAAGCTTCCCACCTATATTTGGGTTTAAAAGCCCAGAATAGAGCTTATTGCTCGAAGCTGGATGGCAGGTGCTGTCACCATGATTAATGGTCCTGGGAGCCCTATGTTAGAATTGCCAGTGACTCTCGGGGCAAGGAGGAATTAGGGGTAGGAAACAAAAGAAATGAATGAAATGAGCATTGAAGATGGCTAGACAGTGGCTGAGAGGGGGCAGGTCCTGCTTTATTTCTTGGGTGTGATTCAAGGGCAAATAGCTCTGGGAATGTGAGCTCAGTTAAAAAGAAAACAAAAAGTCCACAAAACCCACCCTTGTTAGATGAGTTGGTTTGAGGAGCAAACCAACCAAGAGGCTGTTGCCTCTTCCAAGGCCTGCTTCAGTGCTGCTTAGCTGCCAGTGAGTACGGGGTGAGCTGGGGAAATCGGGTGTGAAACGCAGCTGTTGCGATGGGGCTGTGCTGGGCACTAGCTTAAGAGCCCCTCTGCTATGGGGGACAGTGGTGGGTCAGAGCTGCCCCTGGCATCTTGCTGAATTCCTCTGGAGCTGATGGGAGAGGCCCCTCTTGGCTTCAGTGGGTGTAAGGGGGGAGCATTGCCCGCTATTAGAAGGTGCTGTGGGCAGTGACTTAGGGGGAAAGGAAAGTTGAAGCTTTTTCTCCTAATCTGTAAGGTGTTCAGCTCCCTGCCGGTCACTGCTTGGTTTGGCAGGGTCCCCGATCCCTCAGTGTATTGATACTGAAGTGCTTCCTGCGTGTAAAGGTATTACAAGGTTGTTTCCATTCTGAGTGGAAATTGGATGCCTTTCCAGACAACTACAAGAGATCCATGTGCCAAATCTCTCATCATACGTATTTCATACAAACATAAAGATTGTTCATGTTCCATATACAGTTAGGGAGGCATTCATGAGGGTTGCATGCAGTTTTCAGTCCCAAAATGAAACAAAGCCACAAAAGCAGGGTTTTTGCATACCTTTAAAATTTGGCCTGATCCTGGCATCGTATCCTGAAGTTCGCCCCATCAACTTATCCAAGAAGTCAGAAGGAGACATGGGTTTGGGGGCAGATCGTGCTGCTGCTTCAGCTTCTTTGGAGGCTGCCAGGCTGTGTGAGTAGAAAGGAAAAGGAGGTTTTAGTGTACATCCTACACTGGGGAGTGTTTGGGGTCCAAAAACTGAGCAGTCA